TGAGAACTCTTTAGACCTGACCCAGACTAGATCTCCTACCTTAAATGATGAAGGTCGGCGATGTTTATTAGCTTGGGTTATCATTTGATCTTGAGCTTTCGTTAGGTTCTCTTTCACCTTTTGTATGTCTTGCTGAAACATTACTGCATACTCACGAGTCCCTGATGGTAATCTGAGAAATTGGTCCCGAGTTAGAACATCAATGGGACGTCTGGGTTTCCATCCTTTGTGCAGTGCGTTAGGGGAACGTTCAGTTGCAGTGTGAACACTACTATTATACGCACTGGCTATCTTCGGCAAGTTCTCATCCCAATCAATTTGATCAGGCCTTACATACATGCGCAACAGTTGTTGGCACAGACGGTTCATCTGCTCACTTTGGCCATTTGTCTCAGGATGTAGTCCTGACGACATAATCAAGCGAGTACCGTATGCCTCCATCAACTTTTTCCATGGCATACTTGTGAATCGTGTATCTCTGTCAGACACAATAGATAGGGGAAACCCATACTCAGTTACCCATCGCATCTGAAACTTTTGAATCACAAGTTCAGTCTTTGCTTCAGCGGGTAAGGGAATGAACATAGCGTATTTAGAGAAACGATCTACAATCACCATCACTTGGTTATTGCCATTGCGACTCTTTATGAGGCTCATGAAGTCCATGGAGATAGACTCACCTGGTTCACTTGGAATCGGCAATGGTCTCAAGAGACCGAGTGGGTTCTCGTGGGACGGTTTGTTCCTCTGACACACCAGACAGGTACGCACATAAGTTAGTACATCTTCCTTCATACCCTTCCATTCAAAGCGTTCTCTCACTTCGGCATACGTTTTCTTGAATCCAGAGTGTCCTTCAAAATCATGACATTCCCCAATCAACAGGCTTTTAATCTCTTCTTTATGAGGGATGCACAATCTTTGCTCGGTTTGGTCTATTAAGCAAAGTAAACCATCAGTGATCTTATAGTTAGGAAGTAGAGATGAATCTTTTTGTACAGTGTCAATGATAGGTTTCCATATAGGATTTGATGCATATCCTTGACGAATCTTTTCTTTTACTTCCTTTCCTACATCCAAATAAGAGATAATTGCCCCAAAGAAGTCACTTCTTCTAGACAATGCATCTGCCACCACATTAGACTTTCCTTTGATGGTTTTCAACTCAAAGTCGAAGGTATCAATAAAGGCAGACCATCGTACTAGTTTGTCAGAGAGTTTGGGTTGTGTCTTGATCCATTTCAGGGTAGAATGGTCARAATACACCGTGAAGTGTCTCCCCAACAAATAGTGCCTCCAAGTTTGCAAAGCACAGACTAAGGCATACAGTTCCCTCTCATAAGTAGAATTGACAACCTTTTCAGTAGGTAGGCGTGCAGACATAAACTCAACTGGTCTATAGCCTTTACCATCATCCTGTTGAAGGACGRCGCYAATACCRTACTGACTTGCRTCAGCTGTGACAATGAAGGGAAKAGATGGGTCARCGATTTTTAACATAGGGTAGTGAGTCAAGACATGCTTTAGTTTCCTAAAGGAAGACTCACAATCCTTATCCCATAACCACATAGTTCCTTTCTTTAGCAACTTCCTCATTGGTGCAACAATCAGGGAGAAGTTTCTAACAAATTTTCTATAATAACTTGCTAAACCAAGGAAGGAGCGAAGGTCAGTAAGAGACTTAGGTTGTGGCCAATCTCTAATCGCTGCAATCTTCTTTGCCTCTGGCCTTAGCCCATCTTCATTTACTATATGTCCTAAGTATAGAACTTTGGACTTAGCAAATTCAAATTTCTTGGGATTTAATTTAAAATTTCCCTCACACGGTTTCCCAAGTACTAGACGTAAGTGTTGTTCATGATCTTATAGTGTTTTGCTATACACTAGAATATCATCAAGATATACAATGACGAATTGATCCAACCACTCTTGAAACAACTCATTCATGGCTCTTTGGAAGGTCGTCGGGGCATTCGTCAGTCCGAAGGGCATAACCACAAATTCATAGTGACCATACCTGGTTCGGAAGACAGTCTTGTGTTGATCCGCGGGTTCCACCTCGATTTGGTGAAACCCAGACTTCAGATCAATCTTACTGAAGTATTTACAGCCCTGCAACTGATCCAACAGGTCATGAATACGCGGTAGGGGTTCAACATTTTTAACAGTGATAGAGTTCAGCCCTCTATAGTCAATACATAGACRTAACTCACCTTCCTTTTTAGGCAYAAACAAAACAGGAGCGCTGTAAGGAGAARAGYTAGGGTGAATCCATCCTTTTTCAGTCAAGTCCTGGRGTTGTTTCCTCAGTTCCTCAAGTTCCCTATGAGACATTCTATAGATAGRGCCCTTGGGAGTCATACTACCAGGAATGATCTCAATAGTGTGCTTGATAGCACGCTCAGTTATCCCTCTGGGTTCTACGGATAAATCTTTATACTCATCGAGGAGTTTCTGAATCGAGGGGGGATAGGAAGTAGAGGACTCACCAACCTGTTTCACGAGTACCATCATAACTTCCTGTTCCAACTTCTTCCTTGCAACCATCGATCGGAAAGTTGGATAACTCATACAACAAAAAGACAAGTTAAAGTCAGAGTCAGACTTGTGATACAACTTTATGGCTTTTAGTTCAGATTGTGCGTCTCGCAGTTGCACAACTTTTTTTCTAAACTTAATGTCTGGGTTGGCTTCCTCGTGCCAATCCATACCCAGAATCAAGTCAAAGGGAAGGTTTTTCTCAACAAGAAAAGATACCTCGTGTAGTATTTTCTTACCTTCTCGTGTGCGAAACCAACATTTGACACGATCAACGTATTGCGAGACAGTAATCGTGCTCTTGTCCGCTAGAATAGACGTGATAGGTCGAGACAGTGTTTTCACTTTCATTCCGAGATGTAGTTTACGAATCGCCTTCTCGGAAATGTAGGATMGCGTAGATCMTGAGTCTAGTAGTGCACCTACGCGTGTGTGTGCAATCTCTACGTCCGCGAGTAGTAGGTCACCCTTAGACTTTGCTTTCTTAGCCCACGAGCTTCGCAATGCCAGCAACTCGTTGCCAARCTYGTCAAGAGAGTCGTCCAGAGAGACARAACATAAGACWATTTCAGGGTGTTCTGGACGATGGGYCGAAGAAGAACCATCCTCTGCYATGCGAGTCGAAGGGTTGGAAGGGTTAGTTGGCGCCTTACCTTCAATCTTATCCAAACCCTTAGACTCAGTAGGAGCAGATGCTACTCCTACTGGCTGCTCCCTTTTGACAGACTCTTGTTTCGAATGAGTGGGCACCATGCAATTACGTGCCCAGCAGTGCCACACTTCAGACACTGCGCATTATTCATTTTTTCCTGTCACAAGTCCTGGGTCATCCCCATTTTCTCCCAAGGCTTCCCTACCGCAATGTCGGGATGCTCGGGAAAGGAGCGTGGTTTCTTCTTCTCACCTGGCGGTCGTGGTCCTCCCTTGTTGACCATGGCAGCAGTGACTTCCCCCTTCCCGAAATCGCTGTTGCATCCCACAGCCTCGGCCTCTACTGGCCACTTATCTACTGTATCATCGTCGAAGACGACGAGGGTGTGGTCCTGACGTTTTTGACGCCAGATCACTCGCTTGCCATAACCTGCATCACCACCACCACCACCATGCTTTACCACAGATGCATAGGAGTTCTTAACCTGAGAGGTCATTTGCTCCCTTTGGAGAGCCAAATCTCGAAATTGCCTATAATTATACTTACCTGATTTGGACTCTGCCACGAGCTGTCCTCGAATAGGCTCGGGCAGAGCACGGGAGTAAATATACAGGATTTGGTTGTCTTGCAGGTTCAATCCTGGAACTTGCAGCAACCGATCGACTTCCCGTGACAACGACTCAACTGAGGTCCAATGTTTTTGACCAATGGTGGTTAGCTGGTCAAAGGCGTTATCGGTTGTGGTCTTGTCCAAGAAACGTTCCTTGATCTTTGCAAGGAACTGCTTCAAGGTCAAAGTACCAGCCCACTCACCAATATCTTCAAATCCGGCGGCATTAGCTTCCGCCAGTACCCATTCTTTAGCTTCCCCTCCCAAGCAAGACGTTAAGAAAGCAACTTGGAATGGCTCCTCGACAGGGGCTGTTCCAACGTACATTTGGATCTAAGCTATCCACAAAAGTAAGTTTCGTCCTTCTTATTATAGAAAGTCAAAGGCAATTTCATTTTGATCTTCTTTCTTCTCTTCGGTTTCTCAGGCTGTGAGGTGGGGTCCTTCTTTTCTTTGGGAGACTTCGACGGTCCCGAACGCGGACTCGAAGGTGAACTCGAAGGCGGACTCGAAGGTTCCCCATTCTTTTCTTCGGGCTTCTGAGTTTCTCCCCCGAGTACCCTGATAGCATCTCCCATTAACTTTGCTGGTTTCTTTTCCTTCTCAGTTTTGTCTTCCTCGTTTAGCTTGTTCTTTTCCTTGACCAGATTCGTGATTGCCTGTAAACCCATGGTCAACTCATCCATCCGAATGCCATATTGGTCAATTTTCATTTCCAAGTGTGCGAGGTAAGTCACTAACTGAGAAATAGAGATAGACTGTTCCTCCCCTTCGATGACAACAACATGCTGTCTGATTTCCTGGACTTTCCTTTCTTGTTGTGTGTTTCTTTCTTTTTCCCTTTTCATTTCTTCTTTCTTCCTTTTCTCTCTTTCGAGTGCCTCCTCAAGCTGTCTGATGTTTTCATCCACGACATCTTTAGAAACCGTTCTTTCCTATTCTGTCTCCTTTCTGTTCTCAATTTTAGTAAATTGACCCACGACAAAATCATCAAGTGTCTTTTTGCACTTGATCAGTATGCCTTGAACACCCAGAACATCTGTCCCTGCTATGAAAGTTTCAATGACAGTTTTCAATGCTTTGAGATCATACACTTTGCGGATTTCAGACTCAGCTTCTGGTCCGGTCTCACGGAGTTCAGTCTCAATCTGAGCCAACCGAGCAAGCAAGGTTTTCTTTCTTTCCTCAACTTGTTGTTTGGTTCTTGGGTCACGCTGTTCATCATCTACCGCAAAATGCACTGAAATAGGATAGAAGAGGAGTGGGATGAAACGTGTGAGCAGCGAGAGTTTCAAACATTTCTAGAAATGATACATCCTGTTTTAGCGTTTGCCGCACAATAAATAGCTAATTAAACAATAATGAATTTCATGGCCGCTTCCTTTCACAACAAGAATCCCAGTAACCAAAAGAAAAGAACAACTCAATCTACCTCTAATTCCTATGTCTAACTTTGCTGTTCTGTTGTTCTATGTGATGACGTCCTAAGTGAACAGGTACCACATCAGGCCAGTGTGGTCAGATACAACACAAGTGAGTATGCACAGCACAAGACAACAATCGACACAAGGTAAGTAAGCCAACATCAACAAACAATATGTTAGCCCCCTTTTTTCCCTGCATCAGTCCCGACCCATGCAATCAACACCCCACTCGACAGTTGGCACTACARCTRTGCAATCAGTCGTACCGCCRTCGTCGTCAGAATGTACTTCCTCACTTAGGCACACACGTGCCAGCCACGTGTCACCCTTGCCACGTCAGCAAACAACAGGTGGGTGCCACATCAGCAACTCTGATCTGTCTTYTGCCACAGCCTTGGTTCGTCGAGCAGTCAAGTTCTCACTGCCACGTCAGCAGGAGGGCACTCATCGCAAACGMGGCRGCCCTCTACTGCCACGTCAGCAGTCTTTCCAGCCAGTTACGGTGGTGCCACGTCAGCCTATAATGCTGCGTCAGCAAGGATCACCTCTGCACCWGGTAAGTGCCTTATCCCCTTCTTGCCACGTCAGCGTCAATGTCATCAGGCCACGTCAGCACCTGGAGGGATCTGCTCGCTTGTCAGTAGCGCAGCAATATGCCACGTCAGCAGCAGATCCCTGGGACCTGACACATCATGTGCCACGTCAGCAGTGTCGTGAATCAACGTCACGATCCTGGCTGTGTATCGCGTGATCGGTATCCAGACTGCCACGTCAGATCTTTGGTCCTGCCACCTTGGTCTTCTTCTTCAACACGCGCGTGTCTTCTTCCGAGGATGTGTGCTTGGCTGTCTAGATCGCGTTAATAAACGCGCGCGACAACACGGTCGCACCAAGACACATCACCCTCAACTTACCTGGCGCCAACTGGCGCGCGCGCGTGCTGTCTTCGTCATTAACTTCGTCAATCTTCGTCGTCGTACTTCGATCAGGAGTACAACTCTAATACCAAATTGTAATGAACCCAAGTCGTGATGACACTCATTGATAATGCAAATCCACAAGTCGTCAACCAGCTGATGAATATCAATAGTTGAAATCGTTACCAGATACAAAGAGATGGATAATCATACACAGACGAAATAGCAAGAGGTTGGGAAGAGAGACTTAGARGGTGGAAAAGAMATAYTGCGCCCTCTTCTACTTCGGGCTCTCTTCCCAATGTCGCCACCTCRGCAACAATGATCAGAACGATATCTGAAGTTCTCCTCAATGTGCCAYGTGGCACGTCAATAAGTCAATCATCARCGTTGGAGCATCATCAACCTCAAGATAAACAGGTACGTATCTCTGATCCTCCCACGGTCATGATCTCCTCCTGAATACGACGAATTAGAACAGTTGTATCTCTCCAATGTAGCCGCCACATCGGCATCGAAATACACGTGGCAGCGGCCATGTCAGCAGCAACGCGTGGCAGCTGCCACGTCAGCATACCAAGTAGACAAGAGCAAGCYAGCGAGCATGTCTGGCAAGCATCACGTCGCCGTATCTCACAAGTGCCAGCCAGAAACCAGCGTCTCCTCATAGAGCCAGCGTCGACGTCAAAGTAGCAAGTCAGCATTGACGCGACTGAATGAATCCCATTGCTGGGGAGTCAGTCCTTATGTACTGTTGACTCGGGGTCTGAGCCCCGGATGCTGCCTCCCTCAGTTGTTCTGATCTCAATTCAGACGAGGGCTCAGATTATATCGAAACCGAATCTTCTTTGGCCTCGATGTTGTCTGGGTACCTGCACATCACAAGTGAGTGTATCTGGCCGAGGGCCTGTGCATGGTACCTTTGATTCTACAGTGGACTTTGACCTTTGAATTTCCAGCTGTAGTGTTCGGTCTCACAGCCGGACGCAACAGTCTGGGCCTGGGCAGTGCCTGGTCATACAGCCCATCGCAGAACAGTAAGTTCTGCGTGGCCTGGGGCGGGTCCGGGCCCCGTACAGACCTTGATGCACACGAATTACAGCAGTTCCTAACAGTCTCACACCCTCACACAGACTAGTAAACTATACTATTCCATGGCATGTGGGGCGAGGCCCCAGGAAGCCCTTGCTTCTGCTTCGTTGATAAGGACCTCTTTCTACTACACTACAATTCACTTGAAACTCAAGTGCAGCCATAGTCTGACATGCCCTTGAGTTCCCTCAAGATTTTTTTTTATTTTTTTTTCCCGAACGGAATGTCCTTATCTCTTTACATACTAAAGCAAGCAAAGGATCTGGCGACATGGTCGGTTGCGGGCCCAACGGAAACCGCTTGGGACATCGTGGTCGGGAGGAGGTGTCGACCATCGCGGGGGGCAGGGAAAAGCAAAGCGGGCACGGGGCGGAGGG